AAGAGACCAGCCAGGCTGACAGTCAGATAGAGACTGTTGGGATCCGTCCCCTTTCCCAAGACGATGGCCCTGAATCAGCCTTCTAAAGTTGAACTCACTCCCATGCCTCAATTTTCAGCCCTCACCTAGACAGGTCTGCAAGGGGAGCAGTAATCCTAGTGAGCTACATACACCTGAGAACGACCAGCTCTTTAAGATCAAAAGGACAATATTTACCCAAAGACAAAATTCAGAAAGGTTAGAAAAGGTGGAGGCATGGAAATGGGGAGCAGACAGGAAGCGAGGAAAGGGATGGTTGTTACAGTGAAGAGATCACAAGAAAGGAGATGAAACGAAACGTGTATGAATTGTCGACGGTAAAGCAGATGAGCTGCCTGGTGAACCTTCACCCAATTTACAATACAAAGTGTTGAAGAAAGGAACAGAGAGAGATGGGCTTGAGACACACCCTACACAGAATCCTGCCTCACATATATGTCATTCCCAAATGGAATCATACCACAGGCATAGAACCCAACCCAACCCACTGCCTGTGGATGGATTCCGATTCCGACACAGAACGGAACTGCCCCACAGGATGTTGCGTTTCCAGCATTTTGAAAGGAGGTTCTTCGCAGCGGTGTTCACCCACTGCAATCCACGGTTGGGGCTCTGTCTCTAACGTTTGATGGTGACTTGAATAAAGGTTTACAGAGCAAACCCGTTTCCCACCCACCCGTCCGTGCGCACGGTGCTTCATCTCACCGTGTCCTCCTTTCTGCCTGATCATTGTTGACCTCAGCCCTTAGATCCGGGTTCGCTTTCTCTCCAGTGGTGGACTAGCCTACAAAGTGTGCACCTCGTGACTCATGTCCCTGTTCCCCTTCCAGGCTAGTCGGTGGTTGGGCTGAAAATGGAGCCTTGACCCATGAGTTCAGTCCCAGATCGGATGGATGACCCAAGCCTATAGTCTTTGAGGTTCCACAAGACTCTTTCCCACCAGGAAACCCGGTCTGCCTCATGATTTTGAATTTTGTTCCACATTCTCCGCCCCCGGCCCCATTCTATCATGGACCTTCTCTTGTGATCTCTTTCAGAGCCGTCTGTAGTAATGGGCACCATCGCCTTCTTTGGGTGTTGACTTTATGGAGGTGGACAGTGTGTGATTCCTTAACTGCTGCTCTGTGGATAGGGACTGTAGCTCTCATAAAAGGAAGACTTCGACAACTGCGAAATGTTCTCTGGATCATGATGTTGCTTATGGGTTGGGTTGGAGTACAGCCCGGGCAATTTCTAATCCTACAGGGCGGTGGTTCTCAACCTTCCTCATGCCGTGATCCTTTCCTACAGTTGCTCATGTGGTGGTGACCCCCGAACCATAAGATTATTTTCATTGCTACTTCGTCATTGTCATTCTGCTACTGTGATGAATCGGGCGACCCCTGTGAAAGGGTCGTTTGACCCCCAAAAGGGTCGCGACCCACGTTTTGAGAACCTCTGGTGTAGTCTCTCTAAAAGTGGAAAGTTGGCTTCATGACACCCAATAACAACAACAAGCGTGATTGAAATACACCCACCCCCTTCCCCCACCCCCGCCTTTGGGAGGCTAGGCTGTGAGGACTTCTAATAAGTGGGAGGTGGGGAGATCCCAGTACCTCTCCTTCCCTTCCTCCTGACATTCCCTTCCTGAAATGAGGTGTGGAATGAATCCTCAGTGTATTCCCAAGTCTCTGCCAAGTCCAAGTTCATGGAGCTCACCTTGGGGTTTTGAAACAGATAATGGCAGGAGTGTTTACACTCTGAAAATTGGCAAAGGCACGCAAAAATCAGAACATCCTCTCTTCTTTGCAGTGCCAACGATTCAACATCTACCAACACAGCACCAACTTCCCACCATATTTTCTTCCACTCGATGCCTTGTGAGATCCACCCAGGGATGGTCCCACAGAGGGCCCAGACAGGGGGCAGAGAGCTGGACCCCCCAACTGGGACACCATGGGAGAAAGGCAAGGATCCAGACCACTGAAATAGGAGCTTGGAGATGCAGATGCCAATGGGGAAGAGCAGAAAGCAGAGGCGGGGGCATAGGTCAGGACATAGGGGGATGAGGTCAGCCTCATCTCTGCTGCTTCCCCCACTCAAAATGGAAAGGAGAATTCAGGAAGAAAGCAAGAGGAAAAATACCAAACTTCCAAATCCGGTCGCATGGAGTCACTTCCAACTTCAAGCAACCCTATAGGACAGAGTAGATGTTTCCCCATCAGGTTTCCAAGGCTGTGCGCTTCACGAAAGCTCTCTGCATCATCGTCTTTCCCTTATACAGTGGCTGTTGCATTCAAATCCCCAACCATGCTTTCCATGAGCTTCCAAGTGCTCAAGCGCCACACCACCAGGCCTCCTTACCCAACTCCCAGGAGTGTCACCATGCCTGAACCGTTCTTAAAATCGTCCCAGAGCTTGGCATTGTCCTGTGGGTGAAATCGTATCTAAAGAAATAGGGCGCCACCCTCAAAAACAAAAAACAAAAACACAACTTCCTCAAGCCAACCCCACAATCAAAACTGAAAGCAAAAAGGTGTTAAGAGAGAATATATGTTTGACCCTTCAAGCGGCCTCCCAAATCACGTCTCTCTCCCCTGTCTCATGTATATTGGCAGATGGAAAGCTTGTCTGCCTGCCCCACCTCTTGGAAATACCCACAGCTATAGTGAGTACAGAGACTACGTGATGCCAATGGGTAAGCACTCGACAATTAGCCAGGAGGCTCAAGACTCGCATCCACCCAGAGGCACCTTGAAAGATAAGTCTGGTGCAATACTGGGAGGGTGGAGGGAGGGTGGGGTATAAAGGGGGAACCAATTACAAGGACCTACATATAACCTCCTCCCTGGGGGAAGGACAACAGAAAAGTGGGTGAAGCAAGACGTCAGACAGTGTAAGATCTGACATCATAATAATTTATAAATGATCAAGGGTTCATGAGGGAGTGGGGAGCAGGGAGGGAAGGGGAAAATGAGGAGCTGATGCCAGGGGCTTACATGGAGAGCAAATGTTTAGAGAATGCTGAGGGCAATGAATGTACAAATGTACTTGACACAATTGATGTATGTATGACTTATGATAAGAGTTGTATGAACCCCTAATAAAATGATTTTAAAAAAAGAAAGATAGGTCTGGTGATCGGCTCCCCAAAAGTCACTGTCTAGAAGACACAACAGAACTGTTCCACTCTGTGCATATGCGATTGCCACGAGTTGACCCAACCACAGTTAACAATAAGGGGTACACCCCATGCGACCACCCGACTTCCACCACTATTTGAGCAAAAGCCCGTCTTTAGAAAATTCTGAAGGAGAAGAAAAATGAAGGGCCAGACAGACAACTTGCCTTCCATTCCCCTACCAAACATGTCCCAGTCTCAAACCCATCTTCCAATGGATGAAGGAAGAAATGACTTAGAGGAAGAAATGAAGAAGACGGATGCAGAGTGCTGGGACCTCCAAGGGGTGGCCCTTCACCTTCTGGTCTCAAGCTGAACACGCCTCTGTATTAGAAGAATTGACCCGGTGAGATCCAAAGGACAGCACTTCCCCGAGAACACAATTCTGAGGGCTAGGAAAGAGAACCCCAAAACTCACCGCCATCGAGTCCACGCAGACTCCTGAGGATCCTACACGACAAGGTAGAACTGCCCCTGTGAGTTTCCAAGACTGTCGGTCGTTACAGGAGTAGAAGCCTCGCCTTTCTCCCTCGGAGCGGCTGCTGGTTTCAAATTGTGGTTCGCTGACTTAGGAAGGATGGGGGATAAGGGGTGATGCACCGACGAAATTGCAATGGGTGTGTTCAATCAGCATGTGTCGGAATTGTTGAAGGTAAAACTATGACCTGGTCTGTAAACTTTAACATAATTCAACACCCCCTACCCCCCCCCCAAAAAAACCTTGTTTTTAAAATTAAAAAGAGGGAAAAAAGCAATCCACTAAACCTACCATGTAACCCTTACATTGGTAATATCTGCCTATAGAATTGTCCCTCTATTTTTTTAATGCAACTTGATCATTTTCCTAGGGTTTCCTGACAGGGATTCCTAATGTCTGCCTTTGGAATGCCTAGAAAAAACCTTGGTCCCATGCTTTAAAAAAAAAGAAAAAGGTCGAAGATGGAAGTTAAAGAATCAAGCCCACTGGCATATTTTCCTTCTGGTGGTTCAATGGTGACGCACTCAATTGCTAATCAACAGGTCAGTGGTTTGCGTCCACTTAACACAGTGGTTCTCAACCTTCCTAATGCCGTGACCCTTTCACACAGTTCCTCATAGGTGGTGACCCCCCCCCTCCAACCATAACATTATTTACGTTGCTGCTTCGTCACTGTAATTTTGCTACTGTGATGAACCGGGCGACCCCTGTGAAAGGGTCATTGGACCTCCCAAAGGGGTCACGGCCCACAGGTTGAGAACCGCTGATAACAGCTCTGTAGGAGAAATATGCGGCAATCGGGTTCTGTAGAGATTACAGTCTCAGAAATCCTAGAAGGCCATTGTACTCTGTCACCTGGGGTCCCCATGAATTAAGACCAACTTGACAGCAGCCAGCAGCCACAAAGGAAATTTTCCAGACTGATCCTGTGATTCTGGCCTGACCAACCCCCCACCCCCACCCCGCTCCCCACCACCAAATCAACCGTGAGTTAGATTTGCTTTCTTTTCAGGCCCAAGTTCACAGCACAGGTTCTGGAATCTGAATCGTATAGACGGATATGTCAGACACAACCCACATGAGATGGTTTATAGGGAACACCTGGGACATGTTGAACTGCCCCAGCAGAGAGAGAGGAGCTTCTCCCTAGGAAGGAAAGGGGTGGACTGTCTTGAGCTAATCTGAACATGCAGCCAAGGACGCCACCGCCTTTGGAAGGATGTAAGTCCTTGTTGATTCCACAGAGATGCTGTCCAAGAATCTCAGCGGCAGGGAAGCAGAGCTAGACCGAAAAAGGACCTGATGCCAGCTAGAGAGTATCTTCTACAAGATCTGAAATTTCCAGGCACTCTGATCCTTATAGTCCAGAGGATCCATGGGGTTGTAGGTGAATTTCCAGCTGCCTGTGGGGTCCTTGAATTCCAAGCTGTCCACAGGGCTGTAGGAGCCATAACTCTGGCCTGATAGAGAGGTGGGTGACTGAGCCAGGGATGGTCCCACAGAGGGCCCAGACAGGGGGCTGAGAGCTGGACCCCCCAATTGGGGCACCATGGGAGAAAGGTAAGGATCCAGACCACTGAAATAGGAGCTTGGAGATGCATATGCCAATGGGGAAGAGCAGAAAGCAGAGGCGGGGGCATAGGTCATGGCATAGGGGGATGAAGTCAGAGCAGGCCCAGAGGCCACCAACCCAGCCTGCTGGGACTCAGGCAAAGGGGACTCTGAGGTTGGACTCCAGATGGACACAGCCGCCACTGCTGTGGTAGTAGAGGCTGAGGGGCCAGGTAGAGGCGGGCTGTAGGAATCTGAGATGCCCAGGGGGTCTGGACAGGCATCTGTTGAGGCTCTGGGGGGTGTTGCCACCTTCCTCTTTACTGGACGAGCCTTGGTTGGTCCTCCTGGGGGCTGCTGCTGCTGCTTCTGCTGTTGTCGCTGCTGTCTGCATTTAGCCCTGCGGTTCTTGAACCAAACCTGGTGTAGGAAGAGGGAAGATTGAGTGCACAAGAGAAAAGCCTTCGTGGTGCTTAGCAAAGATGATGCTTATCGGTGAGAAGTGTCAGCTTTCCACTGTACAGACCACTTGGGGACCGTCCATCCACTCATTCACACATCCCATCACCCATAATTCATCCACCCACTTATTCATTCATACAGACAGAGAGACGTCATCTATTCATCCATCCACTGGCCCATACATCTACCCACCCACCCCTCCATCCAATAATTCAATGACACCTACCTATATACCTTCCATCCACCCAACCAATCATTATTCTTCTATCCAGCGACAGCCATTCATGTAGACTTCTCTCTCTTTCTCTCTCACATACTGCCGTAGAGTCACGCAGACTCATAGCGGCGACATAGGACAGGGTAGAACCGCCCCTGTGAGCTCCTGAGACTGTCACTCTTTACAGGAGTAGAAAGCCGTGTCTTTCTCCCTTGGAGCATCTGGACATTTTGTACCATAGTCCTTGCAGTGAGCAGCTCAGTGCAGTGAGCACTATGTCACCAGAGCTCCTTAGTCATATATATATGTAATCAAAGCGTCACCCATCCATCCAACCATCCGATGTCACATAATACACTCAACTGCCATCAAGTTGACTCTGGCGCAGAGCGACCCTAAAAGGCCGAGTAGAACTTCTGTATAGGGTTTCTGAGATTCTACATCTTTATAGAAGCGGATGGTCTCATCTTTCTCCTGAGGAACGATGGATGGATTTGAATGGCCTATCCTGTAATGAGCAACCCCAGGGTTAGCCCATTGGGCCACAGGGACTCCTTAATGCTATATCTTCATCTCTCCATCTAGTCATTAATCCATCCAGTCCTACAACCATGCACACACACACACACACACACAGAGATTCATCTATCCGTCCAGTGGTCTATGCACATATACAATGATACATACACATATATACATAAGGAGCCCTGATGGTAGAGTAGATAAGAAATCAGAAATACTTAGGAGGTGATCATCATCCTAAAGACCATGGACGAGACCGTTGGAGCAGGACGGGAGGGGAACTGCAGTGATGGGAGAAAGCTGGAACTTTAAGCGCAATAGTGAGTGTGGATTTTGTTCAGATATTTCTGAGCGCAGATTCCAACAAGGTGATGGGGCATGCCAGGGGTTGATCTGAGGGATGGGCATTTCAGGCAGCAGGAACAGGGAGTGCAAAGGTCCTGAGGCAGGAGGATGTTTGCAAAGCACATTCGAGGAAGATCCAGGGGTCCATGTGGCTGAAGGAACATGAGACTGTATGCACATGGCAAAGGAGGGTGGCGGTGATGTTTGGTGTTGGTGGTGGTGGGCTTTAGGCTACTTTAAAGGTTGGCTGTTACTCTGTGACTGCATTCCTCTACCCTCCACCTTGGGTCCCTTGTGGAAGTCTCAGCAAGTCCAAGAAGGACCCAGGGATCTCAACATCCCACCTGAACCCTGGACTCAGGTAGGTTGATCTTCAGCGCCACCTCCTCACGGGCATACACATCCGGATACTGGGTCTTGGCGAACAGGGCCTCTAGCTCCTCCAGCTGGCTCCGGGTGAAGGTGGTCCGTTCCCGCCGTTGCTTCCTTGGGGTGCCTGGGGTGGGAAAGGGGTGTGGCTACTCAGGAGCTCCAGCCTCCGAACGACTCTCCTCTCCCAGTGCCGGGCAGCTGTGGGAGGGCCCTCAGGTTGGGTGGGGGCCTGAGAAGTCTTTTCTGGATGTCTGTCTACCCACATGAAGGGTGTTTGTCCTCCCTGCCCTTTTAGATCTCACTCTGTCTTCCTGGAACTGGAGTCTCCCCTTTGTCTGTCTTTGGGGGTCTCACATCTCATCCCAAGGGGAAGTGGTATGAGCCCTGTAAGGTGGTGGTCGGTTTGTTTTCTTCCCCCATCTAAAATGTATTCAACCCCTAGACGTACGTAAGAAAGAGGAAGGCCCTCGGCATGATGGATGAGCCCAGCCGTTGCAACATGGGCTCCCGCATCACAGTTGGGAGGATGGAGCGGGACTGAGCAGCATTTTGTTCTGTTGTTCATTGGGTCACTGTGAGTGGGGATTGACTTAACGGATTGAAGGACACACAGAACTCTGATGGAGCAACAGTTAAGCACTCGGCTGCTAACCTAAAGGTCGGAGGTTTGAAACCATCCATCAGCTCCCTCTGTGGGACAAAGATGTGTTCACTGCTTCCATGGTGGTGACAGCCTGGAGAACCAGGTGAGGCTAGTTCGACTCTGGCACCTGCTCACGCTGGGCTGGAATGGGCTATACTGTTGAAGCATGATGTTGCTGATGCGCAGCCCATTCCAGGCCACAAAAATGGGGAGTTCACATAATTCAACATAATGCAAAAAACAGCTGTAAGCATTGTTGTTACCAATCACAACGATTGACATAGAACCCCCTCCCAGGGGGACAGACAACAGAAAAGTGGGTGAGGGGAGGCATCGGTCAGTGTAAGACAGGAACATTTTTTTTAATAAATGATCAAGGGTTCATGAGGGAGGGAGGGTAAGGAAGGGGGGGGGTGCGATGATACCAAGGGCTCAAGTAGAAAGAAAACGTTTTGGAAATGATGATGGCAACATATCTACAAGTGTGCTTGACACAATGGATGGATGGATGGATGGATGGATGGATGGATGAATTGTGATAAGAGGTGTACAAGCCCCCAATAAAATGATTTAAGAAGAAAAAATTGAAGGGTTGTTGTCATTAGGGGTCATTATGTTGAATTCGACCCATGAGTGACCTTATGCCCAACAGAAGGAAACATTGTCCAGTCCTGCACCATCCTCACAATTGTCCCTAGCTGGTGCCCAATGTCGCAGCCACGGTGTCAGTCCGTCTCTTTGAGGACTGTCGGATACAGAAAGGATTTTCCCCAGCTTGGCCCCCAAATATATGCCAAACCTAACCCACTGCTTGCAACTCATGGTAGATGACTGTACACTTGGAGGTCAATGTCAGCTGCTTAGGGGTCATCTCCCTGAGGGTATCAGCCATCTAGAGCAATCAGACTCTATTGTCTGTCCCACCCCAGTAGGGCCCTCTCCCAGCTGATAAGGACAGTGGATTGTTCCCCTGGAGGAGAGACTAGAGACAAGGTGGAGTCAACTCAAGGAGGACCAAGGCTAGGCTGCCATCTTGAATCTAGGATCCGCCCATCTTATCACTTGTGTACCCCTAGTCCCTCCCCTTCCTATTGCGTGTACACCCCTAGACCATCCCCTTCCCATTGAATATATTACCTATGGTACAACCCTTTTGTGTTATGATGTATTCAGGGGGGTTTGCATGCCCCTAAGTGTATATAAGCCTTGATTAGAAAAAAACTCCCGCTCTCTCCTCCCACCTCCAGGTGGACCACCAAAAGGGGCTGAGGTGAGCATGCTACCATGAAATGTGCCTGACTCCTTTATTGTACTCTCTCTCCTATCTTTCCTATCCTCTATGACTTTACTATCATCTTTGTATATTATCACCATACAATTGCACCTACGGACCCTGCGGTTGTCAGAGGTTGGTTTACTCTGACAGAGGACCTTTAAAGACGAGCTTCGCTGCCAAACATGATGTCCTCCTCCAGGAACGGGTTTCTCCTGAAAACATGTCCCAAAGACTAAGCCTCGCCATCTTTGCCTCTAAGGAGCAGTCTGGCCATAATTACTCTGTAAGGGTGAGATGGTTAAAGTTTATGGTGTCAACCTGGCCAATAAACACATATGGGGTTAATTGAAGGGCAGAGAGATAAATGGCTTAGTGAGCCTCATCTTTCCAGTTCTCGGGGGTCTCTTGCTCTGTGATGGTTGGATCAGGGTGCAGCTGCCTTAGCCAGTTCCCTGCTTCAGCTGGCAAGGCTGACTTCCTGCAAGACATCCCCAAGGAGAAGCCATATGAACCTACCCCAATGCATCCCTGGGTGCTGGAGCACCCGTGTGGAGACCCCTGCCAACACTGAGATGCTTACACGCTCACTGATTCGGCTTTCCTCCTGCAGTCGGCATCATTGCATGTGTTTTGTGAGACAGAGGAGGACTTTGTGGATGGAGGACATATGGGTTAATGTTGGACTTGTGGGTTTGGGCAGCACTGGGTTGGGATGTTTTGTTGATGTGTACTTACCCTTTATACTAAACTCTCTCATACATATGAGTTTCTGTGGCTTTGTTTCACTAATGTACCCAGATGAACACAAAGAGTCATGCCACCAAGAGCCCAGGGCTCACTCGGCTTAGCAATGAAGCATGTCCACTGCTGCTGCTGTTGAGTGCCATCCAGCTAGTTCCAACATGCGACGGCCCTATGTACGAGGGAAGGAAACACCGCCCCGTCCTGCACCAGCTCATAATGTCTGAACCCATTGCTGCACTACTCACCAAACCAAACTCACCACCCTCAAGTCAATGCCGACTCAGAAGCGGCCCTATAGGACAGGGTAAAACTGCCCCTATGGGTTTCCATGATCGTTGAGCTGCCAACCTCAAGGTCAGCAGTTCGAAACCACCAGCTGCTCAGCAGGAGAAAGATGAGGCTTTCTACTCCCACAAAGGGTGGCAGTCTCCAAAATCCACAAGGGCAGTCCCACCCTGTCCTTGGGGGTCACTAGGAATCAGGATCGACTGGATAGCAGTGTTGCGTTGCTAAGAGAGATAAATTCTTCTTGATGTTCCCGTTCAGATTCCTGCGTCCCACTCCCACCCACCCCCACCCACCACAGAGGAAACCACTATCGTCCATTCCTATAAACATTTTGATGCTTATCTCTAATGATATCGCTATCTCTAAAGATATCTCTATCTCTAATGATGGGTCAGGAGCCCTGGTGATTCAAACCCAACAGCTCCCCTGTGGGAGAACTGTGAGGCTGTCTGCTCCCATAAAGATGTACAGTCTTGGAAACCCTGTATACAGATAGCTAGATATAGCTATCTGTCTATCCAGAGTCCCTGAGTGGCACACACAGTTAAGAACTCATCGGCCATCCTAAGGGTTGATGGTTCCAATCCCCTCAGAGGGGTCCCGGGGAAGGCAAGGCTGGTGATCTGTTTCCCCCCACACTTCACAGATTTGAAAACTACAGAGCAGTTCCACTCTGCACACAGGGGGTCACCCCAAGTAGCAACTGACTCAATGGCAACGAACAAGGACAACATGCAGCTCAGTGACTTGATGCATGGTCTTGCCTTTGCAGGTGGTGGGTGGTGTTGTGAGGGAGAAAGTGCTCTTTAGAGAGAACAAGAGACCCTAAAGACCTCCACTTCACCAAGAGGTGGGCTGTACTCACTTGGGTAGGACACAGCCTGGTGCATCAAGTCCATACTAGGGCCACCCAGGGCCAAGGTATTGACGGAATAGTGGGGCCCCGGGTTCATATACGCCATCATGATCTTCAGCGACTCTGGACTCCAGGCCAGGGCTCCTGAAAGAGAAGAAGAGAGGGGAAGCTCAGATGCCCGCTAGTGCCCTTCCCTTCCCAGTGGAGGCAGGAAGGCTCAGGTTGAAGTCCTGCCTCAGTCTGCCTTAGGCACGTCCTTGGGCACATGACCTCACCTGTGTGTGCCTCAGTTTGCTCAACTGCACAATGGCTCTGTGGTTCAGGTTCGTCGAAGTCTCATCAAGAGCTGAGGACCCAAAACCACAAAAACCTAACTCGCTGCCATCGATTCCATTCTGATTCATGGCAACCCTAGCGTCATAGTTCAAGCTCAGAGGAGCAACAGATACCGTGTTTCCCCTAAAGTAAGACATCCCTGAAAATAAGACCTACTTATAGTTTTGCCTCTCGCTGAAATATAAGGCATCCCCCGAAAATAAGACCTCCTCAAAAATAAGACCACCCCGATAATAAGGCCTCCCCCGAACATAAGGCCCCCCGAAGCTACCATAACTCTGGACTCTGGATTGTAGCAAAGGGTGCCGCTGCACAGCTCACTGTTGGCCACAGTGAAGCTGGAGCAGACAGGAAGTGTGAGGTCTCTTTTAATCAGAGAGCCCATGCTGCCGCCAGGACAAGCTGCCGCCTGCTGCTCGCTCTGCCCTGACGGAGTCTGGCTGATTCACAATTAGACAGTGAGTTGCGTGGGGCAGGAGTCGGGCACATTGTGTGGACACACAGGGGTGACTGAGGTAGGGGGGAAATGTCCGATAAAGGGGTGGGGGTGTCTGGGAAGGTGTCCACTGGCACAGGGGTGGGGGGAGGGGGAAACAGGGTAGTAACAAGAAATTCTTGAAATTAATATAAGACACTGTCTTATTTTCGGGGAAACAGGGTAGGTTTGAACCGCCGACCTTGAGGCTAGCAGCCTCATCGAGGGCAGCATCCAAAAAAGACAAACCACCCTGGGATGTCATGCAAGAAAGGAGAACTCCATCTGCAAAGGCAAACGCGCCTTACTTGTTTTTACTTGTGAATCGATAACCCACTGACACAGGGTTGATTCCAACTCATGGCACCCCAGTATAAGTGGTCGGAAGCTGGAAATCTTTATGGGAGCAAACAGTCTTCTCTTTCTCCTGAGGATAGGCTGGTGGGTTTAGTCACTGACCTTGAAGTTAACAACCCAAGGCAGACCAAACCAGGATCGTGGGGCTCCTA